ACCCTCCCTTCCTGCTGCCGCCAGCCCAGGTCATCACCAGGACACCCGCTCTTTAGAGAGGCCTGCACCCTCCCCGGAGCACCCCCACATCCATAGGGCATCACCGAGGCTCTCCCCTTCCCGCCGCCAGCCTTCAGTGGGTAGGCAGCATCAGGCAGCAGCTGTGGGGGTGACGGTGTTGCCTTCTCTTGCAGGGAAGCAGGATGGATGAACAACGATGCTCCTTCCCACCGCCCCTCAAAGTAGGTGGGCCCTGCAGGCTGCTTCCTAGGGGAGGGACAGGGTCTTCCACCCACCTTGTCACAGAGTAGCCTTATCCTGTGTAAGGCGCCAGGCCATGGGGTGAGCAGGGGGAGACTCAGAGAATGCTCACTTGTCCTGCCATTGGGCTGGGCCTTCACCCTAGCTCTTCCCCACCCCATCTTCCCAACTGCACCCTCACCCAGCCTCTTAAGTGCCCCCATCCCAAAGTCACAGTCCTTATTTTGCAAAAGACAGCTGCTGTGAAGCGTTTTCCTGAAACCTGTATGAGCAGCAATTGCAAGAAGACTTAAACCCAGGACGTAGGAGGTTGTGGCTCCTGCCCATGGAGCTGCTGTCTACAGGGGAGGCGGGGGCCTGGTTGCCCCCAACAACCTGTGAGAAGACTGACAGGAAGCTGGGGACTGACAATTTAAGGGGAGACTCTTGTCCTTGACTCAGAATTTTCTTAGAGAGGGACTGTGTAGTTCCTCAGATAGGCATACGGATTTTGGTGATCTGGTACCTCAGCAGCCCTAGAAGATCTGGGGGAGTGAGCCCGGGCAGCAGGGTGAGGGTTAAAAGAGGGCTTGGGGGCAATAAGCCCAATGCTTTATTCAGGGCAGGGGTCAAAGCGGGGTCCTCAGACCAGCTGTAGTGCTTCCTGGGAGCTTGTTACACATGTCAGTCCTGGGGCCCCGCCCAGTGTGTTAGCTGGCCTTCCAGGCAGTCCAGAGATTTCTTCAGAGAGACAGTGAGCCTCCTTTCCCCATGAACAAAGACCCAGGGAGCTAAGCCTGCGTTAGGGACACCCCAGGGCCCTGCCCCTTCTGTAAGATGGGAGAGGCAGCCACAGCCCCGTCTACACTCCCAGCTCAGGCAACTTCTGCACAGACGCATGTTCCAGGGAGACTGCAGGGGGTAGAGGTGGAGGCTCGCCCCGCTGAGCCTCTACCCTGCTTGTGTTTTGCAGACAGAGGAGGACTACATTCCCTACCCGAGCGTCCATGAGGTACCTGGCTGCACCAGGTGTGGGGTGGCACTCCCGCAGGGCATCCGGACACCCAGGTCCTCCCCCGTCACAAGTGTGACCACAGGCTTTGTCATGAGGGCTAGAGACATATCCATGGGCCCCAGACTTCAGAGCCGTTTGAGCCCTTAGGCCTCTGAGCCAAGTGTTTCAGCCTCCTGGGCTGAGGTTATGCTTCCAGTTCTGCCTGCCCACCCCCATCCTTTGAGCCTGGGACGTGGGGCTCGGCACCATCTGGGTCTGGGAGAGAAAGGCTGGAGTAGGTACCCCGAAGTGGGTGGGGCCCACGTAGGTTCCGGGCTGTCTCCTAGTACCCCTTAGCTATGGCAGAAGTTGCCCCAGGTCTGAGTCGGGAAAGTGTCCTGGGCCCCCAGTGTGGTGATTCTCAGCCAAGTCCCCCTTCAGGTCCTGGGGCGAGAAGGACCTTTCCCCCTCATCCTGCTGCCCCAGTTTGGGGGCTACTGGATTGAAGGCACTAACCACGAAGTCACCAGCATCCCTGAGACAGAGCCGCTGCAGTCGCCCACCACCAAGGTGAAGCTCGAGTGCAACCCCACAGCCCGCATCTACCGGAAGCACTTTCTCGGCAAGGTGGGTAGCCAGCTGGGATGGGGTCTGCTGGGGTGGAAGGCTGGGCCTGGGAGGGGTCAGACCCATGGTCTGGGGCTGTTGACAGCCTCTAGCCCCGAGTCTCTGTGTGCTTGGTGGATTCACTCATTCATTAGACAAACATTTATTGCACAAGTGGTTAACAGCAGAAACTCTACCAGGGTTCGAATCTTGGCTCTGCCACGTACTACATGGGACATCAGGCAGGTTGCTTAACTTCTCTGCGCTTCAGTTTCCACGTCAGTCAAATAGTGATGGTAGTGATACCCACCTCACGGGGGTGCCAGGAGGCCTTAACGAGACGATGCCTGTAAAGTGTTCAGAATGGCATCCAGAACAACGCCAGGTTCAGTCAGGGCCAGCAAGTAATGAACGCAGCTGAGTGCCTGGCCCAGTCCCCAACACCAGATATGCAGCAGTGAGCGAGGCACCTCCGGGCTGTGCCCTCAGGCCGCTTGGGGTGGGAGCTGGGAGGGCATGGTCATGCCATGGCCCACCCTCGATGGATGCAGCCCCACAGCGAGGGCCCTGTGTGAGAACAGCTTGTCAGAGTGTCACCTACAGGTGTTGGTGAGTTACTAAGGGAGCTTGGGGAAGCTGGGGCGGGGGCACGTGCTGAGACCTTCCGTGTGCCAGGCTCCATGCCAGGGCCGTCTACAGGTTTACAACCCAAATGGGCTCTGGGGCCTCAGGGCCGGGTGCAAATTTTGGCCCTCCTGTTTCCTGATGGTGTGACCTGGGCAGGTTGTTTAACCTCCCCGAGCCCGTTTCTGCCTCCGTTGAAGTGGGGATAATGAGCCCTGCCTGGCCCAGTGCAGACCCTCAGCCGTGGCCACCTCTTCATAGTTGCTATGCGAAGTCAGGCCGCGCTGTCCTTTTACGGAAGACACCGAAGCTCAGAGGTGCGGTGACATGATCAAGGCCAGCAGTGACCGAGCCAGCTCTGGCTGACACGCCGTGGAGAGTCGTGTTCCTTGCTCTGTCAGGGGAAAGGGGTGACCCCTTGGCTGAAGGCATTGGCCTGACCCTGGGAGGGACCGGTGCTCCCCGTCGGGGTGGGGGGCACCCACTGTGACAGGTTAACCCGCAGGCGCGGGCTCAGGAGCCATTGCATGGGAACAAACTCAGAATGCAGCGTGGGATCCCCCCAAGGCTGCGTCCCTGGGCCTGCTGTCCAGAGGCTGGGTCTGGTTGGTGATGGGATCCAGGGGGCCATCAGGGCTGAGCACACAGTGACACTCAGGAAAGTTTGTGGAATGAGTGACAAGTGACAGGTGAAGGTGGGCTGAAGAGGTACAAACCGGGGTCAGGGGGGTGCGAGGACAGGATCAGGTTTGCAGTACAGAGGAGGGGGCCTCAGTGCTGGCAGGGAGTCAGGGTCACTTCCTAACTCCAGGTGGGGTGCTCGGGTGAGCTGCCAGGCGCTCAGGTGCTCCACCCTGTGCTGGCAGAAGGCAGAAGTTAGGCAGACTTTGGGACCCTGAACCCACTCTTTGTGTCCCTTGGGCTCTGAGCAGGCCGGACGGCTGTCTAGGGAAACTCCCCACCCCTGGATTCCTTGTCAGTCGCCTTCCTGCCAAGTGCCTCCCACTCTCTGCGGATGGTGCCACACATTTGGGGTTTTCTTCCACTCTGCGCCCAGGCAGGAATGGGGTTTCTGCCCTGGGTCCATGCAGAATAAGCTGTGGATTCGGAGGGCAGTGCCCTGGCCCTCTGCCTCTCGCCTGCTGGCCTCTGAGGACAGGTGTTCATGTTTGAACAGGATCTACTTCCAGGATGATTCCTACGGCGGGTGTGGCTGGGAAGCAGCCGCACTCCCAGGGCTGGGGCTGGCAGGGAGTCCAGGGCCAGAGTGGGTGTTGTCTCCCCTCTCTCCTGGCCTTTGGCTTTGGGACTTCCCCACCTGGAGTGCCAGCCCAGGGCTCCACTCAGGGGGTGCCAGCTCTGCAGCAGCCACCCCTCACGCACCCTAGGCTCTCTCTTCCCAAGCCTGCACCCTCTTCTCCAGGTGACGCGGGAGGGTGGGAACCTGCCCGGCCAGCCGCCCTGTGTGGTATGAGATGTTTCACTTCCTGTTTCTCACGGGCCCTGGCTTCAGGGGCCATAGATCCATGGCTGGGGCAGTCGGCGGGTCGGCTTTCTTTACTGAGCACCTACTGCATGCCCAGCCTGCGAGGGGCGAGGGCCAGGAGACCCGCGTGCAGGTGCAGGTGTGGCCCTGGCTTTGATGTGGACCCAGAGAGCTGAGGTCACTGCAGGTACTCACTGGACATGGGGTTGCTGTCTCTGTCTCTCTCAAGAGGGCGCACACCAGCCTATAGCAAAAACTAAAAAAAGAAAAAGAAATTGAGTGTCTGTTTATTTATTTAATGTGTGTGAGAGAGAGAGAGTGCAGGTGCCTCCAGCAGGGTGTTGACACAGGGACCCACCAAGCCTTAGCCAGCCCCAAGGTCATGGTCGTGCTCAGGGAGGGGCCCAGATGTGAACCCGGAACCTCCCCACGTGGGTCAGCTTCGTGGAGTGTCAGCATTGACCGCCGTTCCTCTATCCAGCCCCCATCACTCCCCTTTGGCAGACTGGGAAAATGAGGCACAGAGAAGGGAAGTGGCCTTCTCAGCCTGCCCGCCTGGTCACCAGCAGAGCTGGGACCTGAACTGGTCTGCCTGCTGAGTTCCGCTATCGGCAAGACACCTGCTGCTGGGAAGGGGCCCTACTGGGGTGAGCTGCTCTCTGGCCTGTTCCTCAGAAGCCCCAGCTCAGCCTCACCCCTGCCCCACTCCCCTAACCCCTCCTCCCCCCACAGGAGCACTTCAATTACTACTCCCTGGATGGCGCCCTGGGCCACCTTGTCTTCTCACTCAAATATGATGTCATCGGGGACCAGGAGCACCTGCGGCTGCTGCTCAGGTGAGGGCAGTGGGGAGCCCCACGACAGTAGGGAGGGCTGAGGTCTTACAATCTGTAAGTATTCAGAGTGGAAGGTGGTGGGCTCGGCCATGGCAGATGCAGGGACTCAAGGCAGAACTCAGGAACAGTGAGCCTAAGTGTTGGAGCCCAGCAGACCTGGGTTCAAGTCCCAGTCCTGCACACACACTTGCGTTCTGTTGACCTTAGAAATGAGAGCCCATCTCATTTCACCCTCACTCCTAATTGAGGCTCAGAGAGGGCAGGAATTTGCCTTGGGTCACAGCAGGTTAGTACCTCACCCAGGCCTGGTGCTTGTCCACACCTCTAGTCTGCTCTGTGTCCCCCCCACACCATACTTAGCATGGGAGGTTTCCATCCCCTGTCCTGCTGCACAGCCCCTCACTGCATGGCCTTCCTCTCCCAGGACCAAGTGTCGGACGTACCATGATGTCATCCCCATCTCCTGCCTCACTGAGTTCCCCAATGTGGTTCAGATGGCAAAGGTGAGGCCTCTGCTCCCCCAAGCATCCCCTGAAGGGCGGGCACAGGCTGCAGTTCCTCCTCGGCACCCCACCGTCTTTAGCTGTGGGTTCCAGCCCTGTGGCTGCAGTCCCATCTGGAGCTCCACCATGCCCGCCCACTGCAGGGTGCTTTGGGGCCTCCTTCCCTATCTGCTGTGCTCTTGGCATCCTTCATAGCCCCTCAGATACCAGGACCTTGGTCCTCTGAGCCCCATTCTGAGCGACGCCCCCGTCCTGCAGCAGCCTCAGTTGTTTTAACCTCGTCCTCCCTCCTCCTGTTTCTGCACTCCCCGGACCTTGGCCCGGGAGGCCCTGGAGGCCCCATCCTCCTCCCTGGCCCCTCACGCCTCTCCCTTATCTCCTGCTGCAGCTGGTGTGTGAGGACGTCAATGTGGATCGATTCTATCCTGTGCTCTACCCCAAGGTACGGCTGGGGCTGGGCCCTGCTCACTGAGGGCTGGGGTGACTGGAGAACTGCTCAGGCACCTCTGTGTGCCAGGTTCCTCCCCAGGTCTCTCCCTGAATCCTCACGCTAACTCTCTCGAGTCCACAGTCTGCAGAAGAGGAACCCAGCAGTGTCCTGTGCCTCACCCCGGGAAACTCAGAGAGCAGGGTCAGCTTTTTTTTTTTTTAATACAGGTTTTTTGCCCTAGGGCACGTGTGCTTGCTGGGAGAGAGAGGGAAACAGACAGTGAGAGGGAAAGTGAGAAATCACCTCCCACCTTGGGGGGATGGCCATGCCACAATCCCTTCTCTTCTATTCTTTTCCTGGGATCTTGGGCATACATGCACATGTGCCCCATGTGATTTTCAAGCCACTGGGTCCAGGACTTGAACCACAGTTGGCCTTGTGGTAGTCCAGCGACGTAACTGCTGTGCCACCTCCCGGCCCCAGGCCTGCCTTTAAGTCTCAGAGGCAGACCCTGCACAGGCCTAGAACCTCTCAGTGCCCTGCAGAGCCCTTCTGAGGGCAGCCTGGGCTCCAGCCCTCTGCTGGGAAGGTCCCCTTTCCACTGGCCTGGACTTCTGACCTCAGTGGGCACCTGGGGAGAGACGAGTGTGGGTACCCTGTAAATGCTGGCGGTTGCACTCTAGCTCAGCCACTGTGTGCTGAGTCCAGGCACTCTACGGTGGGAATCGGGGCAGGGTGTCTGTCTTCCATGAGCCAGGGAGGCTTCCTGGAAGAGGAAGACCTCTAAAACACGTAAATCCTGTGACCCTGGCTGAATTCTAGAGCAGCTGAGGACCTTGAGGCAAGGTGTGGTTCGGGAAAGGTGTCCTGCAGGAAGGGGGGTCTCAGAAGACAAGTCCCATTCCTAGTTACAGAGGGGAAACTGAGGTCCAAGGTAAGGAGAACTTGCCGAGGGCCTCACCACGAGTTGGTAAGACACAGCCTGTTCAAGAAGGTGGCTGTGGGTTTATGGAGGAGCCAAGGAGTATTCAGAGTGGAAGGTGGTGGGCTCGGCCATGGCAGATGCAGGGCCTCAAGGCAGAACTCAGAAGCAAAGGCCCTGAGTGTTGGAGCCCAGCAGACCTGGGTTCCAGTCCCAGTCCTACACACACTTGCGTTCTGTCGACCTTAGGCAAGTTACTCTCTGAAGCCAAGGTTGAGAGGGCAGAAGGGACAGCTGGATGCCCCCTCAGGGGCTTGCTTTGAAGACACCCAGGGTGCCCGAACTCGTGTTAAATACGGGCTAAGAGCTTGGTGAACGGCAGCTTGAAAACAGCGCCTTCCCCGTGGTCCTCTCTGCAGGCTTCCCGGCTCATCGTGACCTTTGACGAGCACGTTATCAGCAATAACTTCAAGTTCGGAGTGATTTACCAGAAGCTCGGGCAGGTGTGCTCACCTCCTCCCTGTCTGTCCCCACCTTGCCCTGGACCTGGGATTCAGGCCCTGGCCAGGAAGAGCACCTCCAGGGGCCTCAGTTTCCCAGGGACCCAGGGACCGCCAGGGCCCTCCCGCGGGCCCCAGCTGTGAGTGAGGTGGGGCAGGGGCTGGTCAGAAGCTGCTCAGAGGTCCAGCTCGGGATCTCTGCCGTGTGGTTGCAGACCTCCGAGGAAGAACTCTTCAGCACCAACGAGGAGAGCCCTGCCTTCGTCGAGTTCCTGGAGTTTCTTGGCCAGAAGGTCAAACTGCAGGACTTCAAAGGGTGAGTGCCCAGGTGGGAGAGCAGGGTGGGGTCTGAGCCCCGGGCAGGGAGGCAGCCCCTGCTCCTGGCCCCGTGGTGGCCTGGCTGGGGCTGGAGACTGAGCCGGGGCCTGGGGGGCCTGGGGGCAGGTTCCGAGGAGGCCTGGACGTGACCCACGG